GAAGGATTTCCTTCAAGTTTAAAAAAAGGAAATCATCCCTACCTACATTATGAAAAAAATAAATAAAATAGATGGTGTTTTTAAGAAATTTGTATTTTATTCATCAAAGCGCCATCTACATATATTTAGGAAGCAGCCTTGTGTAATTTGGGAAGCCTGTTACTTATTTTGATACAGAGGCAGTATCTGGTGCAAGTTTGGGTCCCTTGGCCCTTAGCCATCAGTCTAGATTCCTGGTGGGGTTGGGAGGATTTGTCACTCTCCAGTACAGCCAGCAAAAAGCATGGGAACCCTTAAAATCAATGTGATGCTTAAAGGTAGCATGGTTGACCTTCGGCTGGAGTTCTGGCCAGGGTTTTGCCCATGTGCTCACTTGGCTCCATCTCAGCCCGTCTCCTGTAACACATCTACTTCTCAGGAAGGCGAGGATCGGAGATCAGAAGGCAGCTTAGTGGTACCTCTCCCATAGAAAAAACATCACTTTCAGAGCACCCCACATAGACTCTGCTTGAGCCATTCCAGTGAGGATGTCTCTACTGCCAGGGACGGCCAGTCACTGTGATGCTGTCTGATCCTTCTTCTGGGTCCCGGACATTTAACTAAGTCTTCCTGGTTCTGTACTGTGGAACTGCTGCAAATAGGTTCAGTCCTTTTGCCTGCAAGCTCCTTAACTGCATAAAGATGGTGGTTTTCTTTCCCACTGGCCTTTCTTTTTAAAAATAATAATAATAATAAATCATTTTTGGGAAGGTTCTTACAGCTCTTATAACATCCATTATATTAAGCACATTTGTACACATGTACATGGCCTTTCTGTATTCATTTCCTAGGACTGCTAAAATGAAATGTCACTAAGTGCATGGATTTAAATATCAGAAACTTACCTTACCAGAGTTCAGCCAGCCGAGAGTCTGAGATCAGGGTGTTGGCCATGTGGACTCCTCCTGAGACTCTGTACCAGGCCCTGCTCCCAGCTCTCACAGCTCTGGGACTCCTTGACTTGAAGCTGAAGCATCCCATGGGATCAGTCCTCTGCCATACATCCCTGTGCATTTTGTCTTTTATAAGCATATTGCTCACTTAGGATGGTGGCCCAGGACCTCATGTTAAGCTAACTGATAATATGCCCCCAAACCCTGCTTTCAAACAGTCACATTCACAGGATTAGGACTTTAACAGAGCTGTCAGAAGGGAGAAGGAAGGCCATTTTTTTCCCCCAAGTAAAGTACCACCTCCATTTTCACTCTCTTTGTGGAACACATTCCCAGGGTTCCCTGCAGACTCATTGTCAATGTCCTTCAAAGATCCAATAGCCACAGCCAAAAGGACACATTTGTGTGAGTGTTTTAATAGTCAGAGAGCCACCACCTCCCTGATCTCTTTGCTCCTGTTGCTGCGGGATGGAGAGTGAGTGGGAGTCATTGATGAACAAGCCGAACAAACTGAAGGGGAGTGGATGACTTTCACTCATGACATTGAGCTTACTTCTTCTTCCCAAACTGCCTTGAAAGGAACAGAATTTGGCTGGTGTCATTCTCCGGGTTGGAACTGCATGTCAGTGGTAAATGGAGAGTGGGCGTGTTTAAAGGTTGATCATTTCAGCTGTAGCAAAAAATCTACCAACTGCCAGGCATCAACTCGCTGAGCAAAGGAGGCAATTTCTATTTGAGAAGGATTTGACTTTTGTGATCAGCCCCTCCTCTAACCAGCAAAGCTTGAGTTTCTTATACTTTCTTCCTACCATTGTGGAGGACATCAGGGATCCAAAGGAGAAACTGAGGCTCAGAAAACCCACTGGCCAATCCTGACTTCTCTATCTTCTGACTTAGACCATGGGCAGAGCCCATTCCTAAACTGCTCTGGATTTTAACTCTCTTATGGGTAAATGCTATCCCCATTTCCCTGGGTGCCCTAAAAGAGAGCTGGTACACCATGTGCTTTGCAAAATAAAACACAGCATATAAATATCAGTGTAAAAGGAGGATTTTGTGGGGTTTTTTGTCTTTCATAAATAAAAAATATATTTTAGAGTTTAATAGCCTTCTCAGATACAATTTGGTCATCTTTTATCAACATTCTGTAATAGTTTCTGACTTTGAATTTCATTTTCTGGAACTTATTGATTAGAAATTGATAATTATGCTATTTGTAATCTGGAAGTGTGTTCCATGTATATATATATTCCTAATATACCTTCTAGTGTTTATTGATGTGAATATTTTGGTTTAGGAATAATTCCCACAATTGCTTTTTGCTTCCTTCCCTCCCCCGCTCCCACCACCTATCATGCAACTTAATTGTTCAATCATATTAAGATTTACAAAATTTTTTAAAATTATTTTATTGGGGGCTCATACAATTCTCATCACAATCCATACATACATCCATTGTGTCGAGCACATATGCACATTTGTGGCCCTCATCATTCTCAAAACATTTGCTTCCCACTCTAGCCCCTAATATCAGTTGCTCATTTTCCACCTCCCTCTCCATTCCCCCCTCCCTCATGAACCCTTCATAATTCATAAACTATTAGTTTTGTCATGTTACCCTGTCTGATGTTTCCCTCCGCCCTCTTCTCTGCTGTCCATCCCCCCAGGGAGGAGGCAATACTTAGATTCTTGTAATTGGTTCCCTCTTTCTACCCCACATTCCCTTCACCCAATGGGCATTGCCCCTCTCACCACTGATCCTGAAGGAGTCATCTATACTGGATTCCCTGTGTTTCCATTTGCTATCTGTACCAATGTACATCCTCCGGTCCAGCCAGATTTGTAAAGTAGAATTGGGATCATGATAGTGGTGGGGGGAAGTGTTAAAGAACTAGAGGAAAGTTATATGTTTCATCGTTGCTACCCTGCACCCTGATTGGTTCGTCTCCTCGACACAACCTCTCAGGAAGGGGGTGTTCAGTTGCCCCTCGAGGGGTTTGAGTCTCCACTCTGCACTCACCCACCTTCACAATGATATGATTTTTTTGTTCTTGGATGCTTGGTACCTGATCCCTTCGACAGCTCATGGTCACACAGGCTGGTGTGCTTCTTCCATGTGGGCTTTGTTGCTTCTGAGCCAGTTGGCCGCTTGTTTGTCTTCAAGCCTTTAAGACTCCAGACGCTATATCTTTTGATAGCCTGGCACCATCAGCTTTCTTCACCACCTTTGCTTATGCACACCTTTGTCTTCAGTGATCGTATCAGGAAGGTGGGCACCCACTGATCTGATTTTTAGTTCTTTAATGTCTGATAACGTCCCTTCTGCACCTCGCAGTCAGTCAGACTGGTGTGCTTCTTCCATATGGGCTTTGATGCTTCTCAGCTAGATGGCCGCTTGTTTATCTTCAAGCCTTTAAGACACCAGACGCTATATCTTTTGATAACCAGGCACCATTAGCTCTCTTCACCACATTTGCTTATGCACACGTTTGTCTTCAGTGGTTGTGTCAGTAAAGTGGGCACCCACTGATACGATTTTCAGTTCTTTGATGTCTGATAACTGATCCCTTCTACACCTCGTGGTCAGACAGTTTGGTGTGCTTCCATGTGGGCTTTGGTGCTTCTCAACTAGATGGCTGCTTGTTTGCCTTTAAGCCTCCAAGACCCCAGAGCTCACCCAGATTTGCTTATGAATTAGTCATCTTGAGAGCTTGTTTGGAGGTTCTGGCAAGGAACGCAGCTACTCATTCACGCTGGACTGAAGGACGGCCCTCCTATCAGGGAAGATCGACCTCTTCACCCGGGTTCACACCTTCAGGGGGGATGCACATGGACTAGTGAGGGGGGAAGGGGACTCCCACCTAACCAGCCAGGTCAGCCAAATAAAATCTGGAAAATAATGTCTAAGCCAGATCGCCTTCACATCCTCAACTAATAATATTAGCTCTTTATCCCTATGTCCTAGAATTTCCTGTGCGCTCACCCCAAATATCAACCTGGAAGTACTATAGGTTGAGTACTCTAAGTATGTATCCCCATATGGAAGATGAGCCAACTGAGGCTCAGAGAGATGAAGTCACTTGCCCAAGGTCACACAGCTTAGAGAGGAGATTCGAATCCAGGTCTAAGGCCAAATCCCATGCTTTCAAACACTACATTCTACCACACACCCTCTCCAGAAACAGAAAACAAGTTTTATAACCACTGCGTGTACCTGCCCTTTTGAGATTTTCAGTATCCCAAACCAGAAGACATAACGGAAGCCTTGCAACTGTTCTAAAATGTTCCAGGGCCTGCCCCTTCCGCACCCCCACCTCCAGACATCCAGCCCTTCCAGGGCGAGGCAGCCCACCCACCGCAGCTCCTACTCTTGGAGGGAGTCCATCCAAACTGAGAACTGAGGGATGCCTTTAGGACAGAGGTTCTCAGCCTGTGGGTCGTGACCCCTTTGGGGGTCAAAGGACCTTTTCACAGGGGTCGCCGGATTCATAACAGTAGCAAATGATAGCGATGAAGTAGCAATGAAAATAACTTTATGGTTGGGGGGGTCACCACAACATGAGGAACTGTATGAAAGGGTCGCGGCATTAGGAAGTTTGAAGACCACTGCTTTAGGATAAATCTGCCGCCAAACTACACAGCAATCCAAGGGACACAAGGTGATGGTGGCTTTAGTGGCTTTCTGGCGCAGGTGTGAATCACTTTAGGCTTAGCTAGAACCACTTTTCATTCTTTTTAAAAGGAAGGAGGGGCGCAAAGCTCCCCACATGCACTGGGGAGTCCAAACCAGTCAAACTATACAGTCTCTCCCTCCCTCCCCTCCCCCTGGCGCCTCTAACTCTCTCTCCCTCCCCCTCTCTCACACACACTCTGCCTCCGTAGCAGCAGTGGCTGTGGCTGGAAATAAAATAGCAAGCAGATTTTATTTTTCCGTACCTTTTTGTGTTTTCCCGGTCAGCCCCGCGTGCCAGCATATTGTTTTAACGGTGGTGGTGAGACAGCATCGAGCTGTGAACAAGCAAACATAAACACCAGCCTCACTTCTATCCTCTCCTTTTTCCCCCATAGGTGAAGGCAGCTTCCAAATATGTGGATGTACCTGTGAGTATCTGGAAATTGTTCTTTTCTTTCATCAGAATTTGGATAGCACTCCTTTTATTCGTTGATGTTAAAGAGTATCTCCCTGAGACTTGGGCCATTAGGAGGAAGAGAGACAGGAGTGCTTCGTAGAGACCTTTCACTTAAGCAAGAACGGGGTTTGTTTGCTCCAGAAAAGAAGGCCTGTCGTAAACCAGTCCCTTCCCTTTCCTTTGGTTTTCCCGGTACATTTCATTCTCTTACCATCTTGCATGCCTCCCCTCCTGTATCTATGCCTTGGGAGTAGAGTTGTGAGCTAGACGTTTGCACAAGGGGGGCTCTGTGGTTTTTTGTTTAAAAAACAAATTCTGAATTTGTTCATTTTGGAGTCAATTCTACGATTGTTTTTAAGGGAACCTTATGAAAACTGCTTATAATTAGCACAGGCCTCATTAATGAAGAGAGCACTCAAAGTTCACAGATAAAGCACTTGAAGTTGCCCAAAATTTACATTTAAATTGAGGTTAAGTACTACACATGAATGGTAGAGTGTGGGATTACCTGTGATAAGTCAGGATACATTTATAGACCGACTTTGCCCGGCCTATTAGCAAAATAAAATTGGAGAGATTTAAATATATTGCAATAAAGGGGAAAAGAAAAGATTCTGTTTCTCCATTTCTAACAAAAGAGGTATGAGTCTATTATAAAATATTAAATTTAGAGAGCTTATCTCAACAGCTACCAAGGGTCTGTACTGAACGTTTCTCATTCTGAACGTGGTTAAGTACTCTCCTTGTTCAAATACTTATTTGTTGAAATTTGTTATTTTTCTTCTGAAAGGATTTATATTAACATTTAAATTCATTTCCCCAGGAAGCTAAGTGTGTAATGGTTTATTGGCTTATTTCTCAAAGGAAGACAAAATGGAAAATTGGAGTGAACTTGGCATTAGCATATATTTTGTTTGTTTAATGAAAGAATGTGCAATCAATAATTATGCTTTGAATTTATATAATGCTTCTCGTCAAGGGTCCTAGGGCTCCTTCCCAGAGATGGTCCTGATAGTGGAGCATGGAAAGAGCTACTGTGAGCAGAGAAGCGAAGTCGTTTACATTCCCAAGCCCCCAAAGCATGAACTTTCAGTTCATAGGGAACAAAGTACTCAAAATCTGGGGCTTCTTCCTCATCTGTAAAATGGAAAGTCTGATACCTAACTAGTGGGGGAGGGAAGGTGCTGGGCAGATGGACCAGGCACTCAGTAGACTGCACCATTAGATGAGCGTGTGGTGGTGGCAATCACAGTGGTGGTGAGGTGCCCCCCACTTTGGTTGACCAGGCATGGAGGGTGCATTTGCTGATAGCAGTTTCTCACCAGCACTGGTTGTCAACAGTGACTTCAATTGACATTCTCACCTCCCAGCCCAATGCTGTGGATTCCCTGAGTGGTGTAAGCAGTTTTCCTCCACAGCTGCTAGTTGAACGGTTGATGTTTCGTCCACCCCGAGGTGCCTCTGAAGAGAGGCCTTGCAATCTACCCCAAAAATCAAAACTCTTCTGTTAAATGTGGTTCATCCTCATGATTCAGACTCTGTATCAACGTGAAAGGGCCCTGATCAGCCCTCGTCTAGCGTTTATGGACTGACTCTGCTAGGTAGCCTTCCTAGGTTTTAAAGACGCAAAAGGGAAAACCAGCAGTGTTTCCACCCTGTGGGTGTGGTGCAAGCAGTTAATGACCTCAGCTGCAAGGTTAGAGTTGCAAGATGTTAATGACCTCTGGGTGGTTGAAAGGTTGGAGTTGCATTCCACCTAGAGGTACTTTGGAAGAAAGCCTGGCTCTCTGATTCTGGAAACAAAACGGCAGCCATTGAAAACCCTGCGGAGCAAAGTTCTCTACTCGGACACCCACGGGGACCACCAGGAGTTGACTTGACAGTAATTATGTTGCCGTTGTTTACTCCTCCCTCTAGAGAGGCACTGGAGCCCTGGTGGCAGAGTGGTTATGCATTGGACTGCTAACTGCAAGGCTGGCAGTTCGAACCCACCAGCCACCCCTTGGGAGAAAGATGAGGCTTTCTACTCCTGTAAAGTTAGTCTTGGAAGACCACAAGGGCAACTGCCCTAAAGGGTCACCATGCGTCAGAGGCGACTAGATGGCAGAGGAAAGAATAGAGGAGGCCCCGGTGGGGCAGTGGTTATGCACTCAGCTGTTAACCACAGTAAGTCAGCAGCTGCAAACCACCTTCCCCTCCAAGGGGAAGAGAGAAGGCTTTCAACTCCAGTAAGAGTTAAACCCTGGAGGGCCTTTTTACGTTGTCCTGTAGGATCACCGTGAGTCCGGTTTGACTCAGTGACAGTGAGTTTAGAGTAAATGAGAAAAGAAGATATAGCTGGCACATCAAATCCATTATTGCGCCAATCAGTACAGCTTAGGACAAAGCTAAGCTTTAGAAATAAGTTGACTTAAAGATAAGTTTATACTAATAATGATAATAGTAGTGTGTAATAAATGTTTCAGTAAATGGACGACTTTATTATAGTAAATACATAGCATAGCCTATGTGTGCACTGATTACAGATGGTCTCAGTTACCGAGTGCTACTATACTAGAAATGCCACAGGTGGATGGCATTAACAAACAAGTGTATTTTTTCACAGTTTCAGAGACTAGAAGTTCCCATTCTGGGCATGGGCCCTAGTGGAAGACTTGTTCTCTGTCCACTCTGGAGGAAGCTCTTTGTCTCTTTTTGAGCTTCTGCTCCTAGATGACCTCCTGGCATATTGTAATCTCACGTCCCCCATCTCTATTGGCTCACTTGTTTATTCAGTCTGTCATTATCTCAAAAGAGATCGACTTAACCACACTTTGCAGTACTACTGTCTCATTATCATGCCAAAGAAAAGCCATTCCAAAACAGGATCATAACCACAGGTACGGGGGTTCAGATTTACCATCCATATTTTTTGGGGGGGGCACACAATTGAATGTGTGACAGTAAATAATAATAGTAATATCTTGCTTCTCAAAACAGCCCTAGAAGGGGGTGTCATTATCCTCCTATTTGCAGCTGAGGACATTGGAGCACAGAGCAGTAAATCACCACGCCCATTGTCACCTGGTGACTGAGCAGGGGGGTGAATGTATAGTGGTTTGACTGTCAAGCTGTCTTCCGGGTGGTGAGCTGTTGTCTGCTAGCCCTGGCTTTTAAGACCTGCTGTGTGCATGGATCTCTTTCCAACTCCACCTGCGGTGAGGCCACCACGGTAGCTTGAAATCAGCCATGATGGGAGTATTGACACCATGGGAATTGGCATCACAGCAAACTAGGGTTTGTTTTGTTGTTTTGTTTTGGACAGCCAGTTGACCAGCCCACCACTACTATTGACTAAATCAGCGCTCCCCAATCCGAAACACACACCAGTAATACTTGGCGAGGCTTGGTTTTTTTGTTGTTTTGCTTCTCTTGGTTTGGTTTCAATTTTGACTTTTAAGTGACAATTCCCAGCCTCTTGCCTCCAGAGAATCTGATTCAGCTTTTGGGGGTGGAACTTGGCAATTTCTCTCTAAAAATCTCTCCATGTGATTTTGATACATAATTAAGTTTGGGGACCAATGAACTAAATCAATGATTTTTTTTTATTTTTAACCTTGGCTGCCTATGAGAAGCTTCAGGGAAGCTTGACCAACTATTAATGCCCAGGCAACTTGCCAGACAAAACAGAACCTCTGGGGATGGGGCCCAGGCATGGGTCTTTTCTTAGGGCACCCACGTCTTTCTCATTTTGCAGGCAGGATTAGGAAGCATTGGATAAAATCATTTCTAGAGTTGTTTCTGGCTTTGAAGACTCTGGGTTTGTGTGTGTTGGTCTGTGAGGTTTGGGGGCACACAATTTGTTGGTTTAGTTCCGTGTGGGGACGAGTAGTTAGTTACCTTAGAGATTTGTCTTTTAATTATCCACACTAACAGAGAGAAGCACTGTTACCAGCCATTCAAAACACTGCCGAGTCCCCACAGCATCTCTCTTTGTCTTAGCTGTGGTCTTTGACCCCCACAGTATCTGTAGCAGATTTACATCCCTAATTAGGGCTTGCTTAGGATACTGAAAATTTGAGTTTGTTTTTCTCAAATTAAGAATTGTCCTGATAGGGGTAAGCTAGATTAAAATATCCCCTTTTCCCCTAAACCATAGAATGGCTAACTCATAAATTATCCTTTTCACGCATAGATGGAGTTAACCACACCAACATGGATGTATCTGTTTTACATTTACTGTATTTCCTAAAATCTGTGTCCTAGTCTCTCAGCCTGTCCCATGTAAAATAAGGAAGCGATGAGATATTAAGCAATGAGTACTGAGATATTAGGAAGCGATGAGATATTAAGCAATGAGTAATGAGATATTAGGAAGTAATGAGATATGAAGCACCACCACCTAAAAGGTTCTACTGCGTGTAAGTAGCAACGTGCTACAATGTCTAGTTTATCTAATCACATCAATTATTTAGTCAAGCGTATTTTCCAACTAAGCATAAGCTACCTTGTTTGTAAATAGTCTTTATTTGAACCATTTTGGTTGGAAATCTACTTAGAAGTCATTAGACATCCTCCCCTGTCTCTTGAAAACAGAATTGTTAACTGCCATCGAGTGGATCTCTAATTCCTAGTGACTCTCTATACCCAAGGACTTGAAATGCTGACTCCCTGGTCCTGTGTCGTGTCCCATGGTGGTCATGGATCAGACCATTGTGATCCATAAGATTGTCAATGGCTGTTTTTGACAGTGGAGTGCCAGGCCTTCCTTCCGCATCCTTCTTCACCTGGATGCTCCACTGAAACTTGTGCGACATCTAAGCAACACACAAGCCATGATGGACCATGGGTGGGTGGCTGTGCCTGAGGGGCATTTGTCAGGAATCAAGCACGGGCCCCTGAATGGAAGGCTGCGTCAGCCATGCCTTATTAAATAGGTGATTGCCATCATGTCAAGAGAGCAGCCCGACAGGACAGAGTAAAACTTCCCCATAGGATTTCTAAGGCAAGAACCCTGGCGATGTAGCGAGTTACATGTGGGCTGTGAACCAGAAGTTCAGCAGTGTGAGCCACCAGCTGACCCTCCAAAACCCTATAGACCCATTCTCTCTGTCCTGTAGGGTCACTGTGAGTCGGAATCGACTCGATGGCAGTGAGTGATCTTCATGAAAGGAGATGGCCACCTCTTTCTCCTTGGGACAACTGGTGGGTAGGGGTACTTAACCACTCCTCTACCAGGACTCTTTATCTATTTTTCTAACTTTTTATTGTGAATTGAGTGAAGGTTTACAGAGCAAATCCATTTTCCACTCAACAAAGGAGCGTCTGAGACCCCAGTTGCTACTCACCAAAGTAGGCTATAGAGCAATGTCATTGTGACCTATGTCGGGCTAACTGACCTCCGAGCCCCATGAGACTACCATCCTGAGCCCCAACCCCAGTGACTCGTTCCCTCAAGGTGCTTGTGGCAAAGGGAAACACCATGTACAGATTGCCTCGGTCATGCCTGGAGATGCTTATGCATGTACTCCCACTCTCCGGGCCCTTTATTTAAAAAGGGGACTGACCATAATTGAATTGAGTACCATCTCGATGACTCAGGGTCATTGCCAAGACTACCTCTTTCCCCAGTGGCTGCCCAGTGGGCTGTTTTCCCTGAGGGCCCCTAGAGGTCCGAGGCAGCTGCCCTTGCACTTGCCAGTCCTGCACTTGAGCAGTTGGTGAGTCGGTGTGTCTGCTGTTACCGTTTGGCAGTCTGCCCCCTACTCCTTACACTCAGGGGATTAGGAGAAGTGACAGTTCTCTCTTGCCGCACATCTGTTTCATCTAACTCTTTTCCCCTCTATTCCTGGGAAGCCACCTTCACAATTTGGTATGTTGTTGTTCTTCTTCTTCATTGAGTTCAGCCAGCTTAGGCTCGCTCACAGCAACCTCATAAACAACAGAATGAAATGCCACCTTCGTGATCATTGGCAAGTTTGAGCCATTATGGTAGCCATTGTATAGAACTTGCACCTAGGGGACTCATCTTATAGCACTGCATCAGACCACAGGGTTTTCATCTGCTAAGGCTTGGGAGTCATTCACCAGGCCTTTCCTCCTAGACTCTCCTAGTCTGGATGCTCCACTGAATCGTGTCCACCGTGGATTACCCTACTCGTATTTGCAATACTGAAGCAACATAGCCGCCACAGGACTGCAAAGTGGCAGGCAGATGTAGGGATTGAATGCGTACCCAGCTCCTTTTCCAGAGATGCTGTGAGGAGGACCTGGAGAACTGTAATGAGACCGCTTCGCCTGTTTTAGTGCAGAGACTGTTGGTTTTATTTTCACGTTGATCCCTCTTCTTGGTTCTAAAAACTCTCAGTGCCATCAAGGTGATGCCAACTCATAGCGACCCTCTAGGACTGCCCCAGTGAGTTTCTGAGACTGGAACACCTCATAAGAATAGAAAGTCCTGTCTCTCTACCACAGGATGGCTGGTTATTTTGAACTGCTAACCTTGCAGTGTGCAGCCTAATGTATAACCTCTAAGCCACCAGGGCTCCACTTGGCTTTAAAGTAGGCAAGACTGTGGAGTAGCATAATGTTGTGAGTAGAATATCACAGTAGCCCACTTGTGTAGTGTTGTTTCTTTACCTCATGCATTATGAGTATTTTAATAAGTCATCAGGAAAATGCTTGAAGGGCAGTAGGGAAGCAGGTGTTGATCCCATTGTACAGAGAAGTAACTAAGGCCCAGGGAGACCTTGTGACATAATGAATACCACCAGGTCAGCAGTTCAAAACCGTCAGCCACTAGGAGAGGCTTTCTACTCCAGTAAAGAGTTATAGCCATGGAAAACCACAGGGACAGCTCTGCCCCGTCACGTAGGGTCACTCTGAGTTGGAATGAACTTGATAGCAGTGAGTTTGGTGTTTTAATTAGGGCCAAAGAAGTTTGAATGATTTGCACAAAATTGCCATTTATAGGAGATCCAGAGGAAATTCCAAGCAGTCTGACCAAAGAGCTTAAAAATGGAGGTAGGAAGTGGGCATTCACTCATTTGCCCCTGGATCCATTCATTACTGAGAACCTACTAGATGCCAAAGAGGCCTGTCGGCATAGTGGCTTATACATTGAACTGCTAACCGCAAGGTCAGCAGTTCAAAACCACCAGCTCCTCGACAGGAGTAAGATAAGGTTTTCTACTCCTATGGAGAATTAGTCTCAGAAACCCACAGGGGTAGTTAACTCTACCCTGTCCTGTAGGAGTGCTGTGAGTTGGAATTGACTTGGTGACAATGAGTGTGGCTGTTTTTGTTTGGGATTTGGGATTTTATTTGTGTGTTTTTAAGATGTAAAAGTCTCAGAAGCCCACAGGGGCTTCAGAGTACTGTCCTCCAGGGTCACTGAGTCAGAATCAAGTCATGGCAGTGAGTTTGTTTTTGCGAGTTTACTGTGTGCTGGGGACACTGTAGGAGAACACAGATAAAACCCAACCCTTGTGCTCATGTTCACAGGGATGACATTGTACTTGGAGGGTGGGGGAGCAGATAAAATAAAATGTGAACTATTGATGAGTGGAAAATTTGAGCCGAAAGATAGAGAACCATGGAATGTGTTAACTACCTGGGTGAAAAACCATACTGATTTTTTTTTTTTAAAGAAAAGTTCTAAAATGTTCAATGAAATGTACCTTTCAGCAGATACTAAACCTAAGTGAGAAAAGGGGGGTGGGGAAGGCACCACCTTTATCAATGGGGGGGTGGGGGGTGTACTGATAGGTTTGGTAAAGTCAGCTTTGGATCTTAGCTCTAAGATGGCAGCGAGTACCCAGGAAAAGTCCCTATCTGCCACACGCATCACCAGGGAAGAAATGGAAACAATAATAATACTGTGTTTCTCAAGTTTCCCCAGGCAGGGGTCCCCACCTCTCCTGAGAACGGACTTTGATGTGTGGCTCCCAAAGGGAGGGAAGCAGAGAGGTGCCAGTTTAAAACTGATAGCTCTCACCGCTCACTGGAGAAGCGCTCCTGTTTTGTATCAGAAAACTGCAACAATTATAGGACCATCATGGAGCCCGCTCAATCCATTCGCTGAAAATTGCTTGAAAGGCTAACATTTGACTACTGTGGCTTTGGGTTGTCCTCATTGTTTTTCAAATTAATACCTTGTCATTGTTTTAGCAGGTGTTAAGAAATGTTGCTAGCATCCCAGGGGCCAAGCATTGGCCCTTTGCTTGATAATTGTTTGCTTTGTATCAGGGGGGAAAAAAATACAGCCTACTGTTTCCAAACCTTCCTCATTTTCACCCTGGAAATTACACAGAAGTGTTAACTAACTTCAATTTGCAGTGCCTGACAGTCACGTCTTGTAGAAAAATGATACTTTGTGATCTAAGGTAAATCACAGTAATGAAAACTCATCTTTTTAGTTATTAGCAAACATACATATCGACTGTGGAAATTTAAGGGGATTCTGGCAGCTCTCCTGATGACCCATATTACAGTATTTTAATAGGTTTCTTTGGAGATAACTTTGATTGCGACATCTCAAGCAGTGTGCATTCTGAGTTTCTTCCTTTAAAAAAAAAAATCTCTTACAATAGTTTTCTAACTCCTGGATGAACCACCTGCTTACCTTTAAATAAAATCTAATTTACTTCAATATCAAGTATTTTTGGCCCTCTTGTTATCCATCTTTGCCTGGGAAGACAAGACACATGCCTCTCCTAAGTAAACAGATAAGCAGATCTTCAGTATGTACTTGGATTTAATGGTCTTCTTTCCACCGTGTGTGGTGGCAGGCAGGTGGGAAGGGGAGGTTGGGGGTAGAAGGGGTATAGATTGAAATGTAGTGCTTTTTACGTAGCACTCTCTCAAATTATTTTTAAAGGAGGACTGGGAAAGGCGGTCTCCATTATGTTATGGGTGGTGGAAAGCAGCATGTTTTCTTTTTCATTAATTGGAGAAGGAACCCTGGTGGTGCTTTTGAGTTAAGCATTGACTGTTCTCCTCAGAGTCTGTGGTTCAAACCCACCCCATGCTCCACAGGAGAAAGATGAGACTGTCTACTGCCTTCAAGACTTATGGCCTCAGAAGCCTAAGCTGCGTTCTGCTCTGTCATGCAGGGTCACAATGAGCAGGAGGTGGGCTCGTGAGTGGGTTCATTGGGGTCTCAATCTGAAGCAAAGCTGGGATCTCTGAGGGATCCGGTGGAGATTTATCAACTGGATCTTTCTACCAATATAATGATAACAGAAAAAAGTATAGATATATATAGATGTTATATAGGTCAGGCCCTACAATTCTGACTACCTTCTTAGGCAGGCTTGATTTCTGGGAAGATCAGGAAGTTCCACCATCAATCCCTCTCAAGGGTAGGCTGTGGGTAGGTGTACCATGACTGCAAACGTCATCCACCAAGACCTGGCGGGGTGGGTCACGTGGGGTGAGAGGAGAGAGTAAAGATGCATGGAAAGTGAAGAGAGCCTCCCTGTCTGAAATCCAACGTTCACGTTTTCTTGTTTCTTTGCAGAAACCCGGGATGGATGTGGCCGATGCCTACGTGACTTTTGTCCGCCACTCTCAGGATGTCCTGCGTGATAAGGTCAATGAGGAGATGTATATAGAAAGGTTATTTGATGTAAGTAATGCCTTCTCCTCCTTGAAGACCAAGGAAGAGACCCTCCAAAATGTGGCAAAATAAGAGACAGGAGGATAAGTCACATTTTGAGAAAACGGATCGGTCCCCATTCAGACAAAATCCTTTCCTCTCCCTCTGCCTTAGGCTCTTCTCTGTCGTGTGTCTGTTCTGAACCTACACTGGTGTGGCAGTGTCTTGGTCCCTATCTGTGTGATATGTAGGACAGTGTGCAACATGCTGCCGCCGGCGGGCCCCAGCGTGCACAGGGCTTGCGAGGCAGCTCTCTCTAGCTGGCAAAGACCCTTTCTGGTCATGGTTCTGCTCCTGGCCATCTGGCCCCTCCTTAGGGTGCCGGTCCACTCCCTCTCCTGGCAGTGGTACTTCTCAGAACCCAGCTGTGGCGGGCAGAGAAGAAAGTCAATGGCATGCGTTGTTACAACCCTGAGCCCTGAGTTGTGCTAACACCAATGCTGGAGTTGCTTCAAACTCACACTGCCTCTGCGCACCCAGCCTCTTGAAAATCCGAGAGGGTGAGCCTGTGCCCAGCAGGCAGGAGCTTGGACCTGTGAGAGCCAGATTGAAACTGTCCCAAGAACGTACGTTTCTGAGGGCCCATCCATCCCAGGCCATCTTATTGCCACTCCGACTCTATGGGCACCGCCAAAGCCAGCCACTGAGGCAAAAATGAATGAACCAATTAATTAAAGGGATCTGCTTCGTTCTCAAATGGCCTGCCTCTTTCAGGCCAAAGCAGACAGAGTTGCCTAAGCCAGCAAGGTATGTGGCTTCTGGTTTTCACCGAATTTGCCAGCTTCGACCCGGCCCGAGTGCATGGAAGCTGCCGTCTTTGTCTCCGTGTGGCTCTAACTGTAGCATACTTTCCGTCTTGTGGAACATGAGCCCCTCCCTGCCCAGGTTTCCCTATTCTCACTGCCAGCCCAAACGTTCATGTTTTGATCTGCTATGGAATCGTGTTTCTACACTTTCTCTAAGATTGTGTTCTGCAATTTACGTCGAGTTTGTTGTTGTTGTGCTGTAGCTAACTGAGCTCGTTGTTGGCATCGCTTTGGGATTCTGCCGCGTCTGACTTTTCTCTGCTGTCTTCCAGCTCATTGGCTTTCCTTGTGTGTTGAAAAGGCCCCTCCCCCGGGTTTGTTTTGTTTCCCTTCCAATCATCCCCTTTCTGTGCTGGATGCCCCTCTCTTCTGCATCACCTTCTTACTTTTTAATTCCCACCCATTCTCTCTCTCTCTCTCTCTCTCTCTCTCTCTCTC